GCAGAGTTTCCTGATGCGGTTTGGAATTCATTAGTCCGCAGTGACGGCGAGCAGTCGAGGCCCTGAGGCGCTCCAGCACACCATCAACATCTATTCGGCAGTTCTGACTTTTTTCTTGCAATTGCGAGTATATGTTGCAATTCTGACCTTATAACCTGCAATTCTGAGAAAAAAAAAGTCAGAAATGCAAGATGCAAACTCACAATTGTGAGAAAAAAAGTCCAAATTGTGAGATAAAGTTGCAATTACCTTGTTTTATTTTTTATTCTGTGGCGGAAACGGGCTTCCACAAAGAAACTGCTAGTAAATTGAACAAATAATTAAATAAAGAAACAGCAAGTAACACACTGAGTTAAACATGAAAAGTACTATTTTCTTGTAAAACCTACTCAAACAATCTTTATTTACAACTTCGAAAAATCATTTTTGTAATATGCTTAACTATAATACTACTGATTATTATTAATAAATTCCATTTATTGAATTTTTTTTGAATGTCTTTAATTACATTGATGTTGCTGCCATTTCAAAAAAGCAATAAACCATAGTGAAATAATTGTATTAATGATGTTGATATCCCATAATCTCAAGAAGTCTCGTCTTCTAGCCTTTACCCGATATCAGTGCTACATTTCAATGGTAGTGAGGTCAGGACTGTCTTCAGTTGTTTTGGACTTACTCAACTTCCTTTGAATCGGAGTTCACAAAAACACACACTCACTCTCATTCTGCGGCAGAGTTTCCTGATGCGGTTTGGAATTCATTAGTCCGCAGTGACGGCGAGCAGTCGAGGCCCTGAGGCGCTCCAGCACACCATCAACATCTATTCCCTCCACCATGATTCACAGTTGGAAGGAGACTGTGTGTTGGCACCGGCAGGGAGGCAACGCCTCAACTTGACTCACACTCATCGTAGTAATAGTTTTTGGAGAGCAGTGGTTTCCTCATAGAGAGTTCAGGAACACAGGTGTTATCAATCACAAACAGACAGGTCGCAGAACCACACTTCTGATTATAGCCATAAAATCTGGTCCACTTAGCAGCTCATTCTAGACAGGAACCGCCCACTAAAGAAAAACGTCTGACTGACAACCATAAATAACGCTTATGGTTAAGGATGCACTGATCGACCGGCCAGGGATTAGCCGATTTTCCTCATGATTGGTGACCCATTTTTTAAAGGGGCAAGTTAGAGAGAATTTCATTTGCCTGACCGGACAAGAAGCCTGATTAAAACATCAATAACAAAAATAACTAGGGAAGCACTGAAACTTAGCCACCAAACCTTTTTGCGCAAGAATGATTCTGATTTTATTGCATTCAGTGTAAAACGGAGACTGATAATGTGTTTATATCGTGCCAGATGTGGCTCATGCAGCCTGTCTGAGAAAGAGACAAAACAAACCAGCGCAACAGCACACAAAGTAACTGCATACTGCGGTAGAAAAAAATAATATTTATAATATATGCTATAGGTAAGCAACATTACACGACCAAGAAGTTTCCAGCGAATATCAGCACGATTGCAGTGTGACACTGATTTTATACAATAGTAGTTCAATAAACAAGAAGTTAAAATTAAGTTACTTACATTTTAGACACAATATTGACTGTTTTTTGCTCAATTTCACAAATGGAAATCGTTCAAATCAAAGCCACAGCAGAACTGTTGTGTGTCTCCGAGTAACACAGCCACGTTTCGTTACTGAATTAATCCACGTTTTTGAACGAATCGAGTGAGTCAATGATTCAGTGACACATTCATAAAGAGTCACTTGCCTCATTTCTGAATGAATCAGTTAAATGAACGACTAAATGACTCACTCATTCATTTGCTACCACATACTGGTGGTTTGGTTTCATATTTAAAAGTATCATTGCATTTTTCCCAACATTTCTTATTTGTATGTTCAAAAAATTATTTAAAACATTAATCTCATAAAATTATTTATACATTTGCAATTTTTTCTCATCTCAGCTTCATCAAACAGTCTGTGTAAATACATCTAATGCCACTTCAGATGCAGCTTCTGTGTTTCCTGCAGTG